TGCTGCCCTTGGGGGTGAACCTGTTGTGCCCCTCTGGCAAGATGTTCTGCTCCTGGAGTTGCTGGTTGGTTCTTTCCCCTACACTCTCTGCGTGGATTGCAGCTGCAGGGTTTCCTCCCAAGCCTATTTGACAGGTCTGAGCTGAGTCTGGAGGGGACAAGGTTGAGTAGAGGGGAGAGGCAGCTCTTCCATACACTCACTGGGCCTGGACTAGGACTGGATCTGGGGGTTTCTGGAACACAACAGAAATTCCTACTTTATGGGCAGGGTTGGGGGGGTACTAAGGAGTGATGAGGGGCATCCCAAAAGGGGTGTAAGAAGGTGTCACCCACGCTGCACCTGGGCTGGGACCAGTAGGTCATGCCAGCACAGGGTAACTGGAAGCTCTCCTACACACTCACCTGCCTGGGCTAGGACTGGTTCTGGGGGTTCCTGGAATGTGGCAGAAATTCCTACTGGGTGAGCAGAGTAGGGGAAGTGCTGCAGAGTGGTGGGGGGGCGTCCCAAGGTGGTGGAAGAGAGTCTCACCCATGCTGCACCTGGGCTGGGACCAGTAGGTCCCGCTGACGCAGGGTAGCGGGAAGCTCTCCCACACACTCACTGTGCCTGGACTAGGACTGGGTCTCTCCATTTTCCAATTGTTTCTCCTTTTTAAACTCTTAATTTCTTATGCATTTCTTTTTTTTCTTTCTCCAATTTTGTATGCAAATATCTGGTAACATGAATAACTGCTTGGAAGACAACACTATGCATTAAAACAAATACTGTGAAATTCATATTATTTTGTTAAGTGAAATCCTGTATCACTTGTGATTTTTCTGTTTTAATACCATTTTTTACTCTCTTTAAAAAATAAAAAAAAAAAGTGTGTTAAGTTAAAAACAGTCAATCAAACAAATGTTTCACATGCTAGTCAGAGAAGAGTTGGTGACTAGGGTGTTAGCTCTAGGATCTACTAGAGCTCAGGGAACTGGGAAGACATTATCATGCTGTGATTTTTGTCATTGATGACACAGACTTTAGTAAGCCAGGCCTAGACAAGAATTTTTTTTTTTTTATTTAGGACAGGGTGTACAGGACGTACAGGGTCTCACTGTGTAGATCAGACTCATAGTAATCTTCCTGATTACAGCCCCCAAAGTGCTGGGATTACAGGCACACGCCATGATGCCCAGTCTCAGTTTCTGTCTCAGCACACCCCAGTGGCAGAGCCAGCAGGGCAGGCCCAGTGATTGAACTCCCAGCCCCTGCATCTGCCTAAGTAGGCACTTTAATCCACTGAGCTATTTGGCTGGCCTCTAGACACGATCTTAAAAATTACCTAACCACTATTCTTGTCCCTCACTATAGAAAAGTTCCAACATATATTCTCTTGGGGGTAAAATGGGCACATTTATTTAAATATATGTATGTAAAATTTTTAAATTGAGGGCATACTTAGTGCAAAGCAGGTGATACTCACTGGGAAACAGAGATGTAAAGATGGCTGCCATCCAGATGAAGCTTAGGCTCTAGCAGCTGCAAGAGACATCGCAGATGACTGTGCAGTTACTTACTTAATTACAACTGTGAGGAGTACTCTGAGAAAAAAAAAATCATACGTAACAGGATTCCCACCCTAATCATGGGTCAGGACAACTTGGAAGGGCATGAAAGCCTAAGGAATGAGGACCCAAGGAGCCTGTTCAGCCAAGGAGGTCCTGGGGAAGGGAAAGGCAGCACAGATGAGGCAGCAGTGTGCACAATGGCTTCAGGATCATTTTGGACATAGGGAACCATAAAGAGAAAGAATTCATGTCTTCTTTTAAAATTGAGGGTAATTGTTAGCAGACACTAACAAATCACCTGCTTTGCCAAGGCAGCCCACGTTGGTGCTGAGCATTCTACCAACACCCTTTGATGTCAGCACAGAACATAGAGAGCACTTCTCATGGATGGAAGGGAGAACCTAATGAAGAAAATTAAACTGTAGTTTTTTTTTAAATTTTTATTTATTTTTATGTGTGTGTGTGTGTGTGTGTGTGTGTGTGGCCAGCTCAGCACACCAGGGGGCGGGGCTGGCTGGCATGTGGTGCTGGGGGATTGAACCGCGGTCCCTGTGCTTTGCTAAGCTTGTTCTAAGTAGGTGCTTTAGGCCACTGAGCCATCTCACCAGCCCTAAACTGTAGTTTTAAAGGATAGTTTGGGCTTTCAGAGACATAAATAATGAAGGGTAAACAGATGAAATGAGCCTGGCTAAGTGTTACAAGTATTGTAATGCATTTGCTACATTCACTGAGCATTTGTCATGTATGAAGCACTTATCTAAACACTTTGCACACAAAATTATATTGTCCTCACAACACATTTCTGAAGTGACCACCATCAGTCTCCTTCTTTTGCAGATGACATGGTTAAGATTCACAAAGTTTGAGGGCCAAGCCCAAGACCACACAGCAGCTGAGGCAGCACCCAGGACTCCAAGTGAGGTCCGTGTAACACCACACCACGCTTAACTAACTGACCATATTGTTTTCACCCCCACCCCCATCAATAGATGGGAAAATATGTTATTGATGTTTCAAACCACAATTTTTGTTGCTGTTAAAGTTGATCAATTTTACATATTTCTTAAAAAACTATAGTTTCTTCTTATGTTATTTGTTCATAAACAAGTTTTATGAAAAAGTGGATGCCACTGAAAAAATAGAACTGTAAATTTTTGTTATTAGCAAATCAGTAGAATTAAGATCGCTTCCCCAACCTCCTAAAAACACACCATAAAATTTGCTACCAGAATCATTTTAAAATAAAGTTGTCCTGTTTACAGGGCTTTTATAAGCTGCTTTTGTTCTTTAACAAATAAAAAAATGATGCAATTGTCCCCTACAAAATAGCGGAGGTTTTACTTGAACAAAAATCTGTTTGGAAATGTTAAGCTGGTTACACAGAACTAATATTCCTCAAGGTGGTCATTCTCTCTGGATTAAAGCTGTGGAACAATTGTGGCTCCTGTTACCAGGAAAATCACAATGGACCATTATGAAAAGGAACAAAAATCTCTGTTCCCAGAGGGGACTGACAAGCTGAAAGTTCCCCTCTGCAAGCCAACACAAAAGCCTGATTGCCTCTGATTGTTTGTTTATGTAAATCAAAAGGGTGACACTAATTCTGTAAGTAGGGCTGCTGGGCACCAGAGAAGGTGATTGGCTCATGGAATTCTTGCTCATGGACTTTGGTCAAATCTTACAAATCCTGCTGCATTTATTCTAAACTCGGTCTGGGCACTATTAGGAAATAAATCTGGTTATTATGTACCAGAGTGAATAATCTGTATTTTTAGGGTAATAGTTGGAACTACAGGACTTGAAGGCAAGAAGGCACCATACCAAGGATCTGCTCATCCAACTTTCCCCCAAGTTCTCTTCAGATCGAACTCCAGAGACACCATGACAGAAGTCCCCGCAACACTCAGTGGGGCTGAGTGTAATGGGGAGAGCCCCCCAGAACATGCGCAAAATCCTGTCATTGAGATCAGTGGTGACATGACTGATGTGGCCTGCAGGGCTGAGCCCCATCCTGAGGATTTACCCCACAAAGGGAGCCAGGGAGCAGGTGGAACACCACAAGGAGGCACGCTGCTCAGCTTGTCCTTGGATGGGAAGATCTTGAAAGGTATTGTAGTCCATTTCTCTGCACTTTTCTTCTTCTGATTTATGAACCCACTTGGAAGTTTATCTTTTGTTCTTTCCTTGTTTTGGATGAATTGTTAAGGCAGGAATAAACAGGATGTCCAAGAACTGTAGCTCCCTATTCTGCTAGGGCCACATCTCAGAAGGACAAATCCTTTGCAGCTGTATGATCCTAGAGCCTCTTTCAGTAGAAGAAAGCTGTGTATCAGTGGCTACATTTGTGGGGTGATGGGAGGAATTATTAATGTTGACTACATGTCAAGTTATTAAATATTAAATTTATTATAAATACACCCATTAGGATTTGTAAAAAGAGAATTCAGAACCTCTTACACACACCTGAAGATGTTTGCATTCACAGTTCTATACCTTTTATTAATATCAAGGAAAAGATAACCAATAAAAATATTACTTATTAAATAAACTGAATAAATAAAGGAATCAGAATTCAAGTAGTAATTTTTAGTAACCATAATTAAAATTAAAGAAACAAAGCTGGAGTCTAAGTTGACACATCTTAACTCCTGAGCTACATATATTTTCAATGTTCTAATCCCTGTATTTTCCCCTCAGAAAACCCAGAAGAGAACCTGTTCATTGTTCATAAGGCTATCACAGATCTTTCTCTTCAGGAAACAAGTGCTGACAAAATGACATTCAGAGAAGGTAACAGGAACTACCATTTTGTATGTAGAAACTGTTTAACTGTGTGACGACAGTTTCTTCATGAAATGTTGTGTGCGTGTGCTGCGTTGGAAAAGGGATCCAGGCAATGGCTTCAAAATCGCAAAGCTGCTTTAGGCAGATAAGAGAATCTTGAGAATCTTGTCGGTTCCCACCTCAGACAGCATCCCAGATGGCTCGAGACTAAAATGGAAAGGGTTGGGATAGCTCATTGGCATACCCATGTGGTATCTGTCTTTTATTAAGTTAGCCCACTAAATCAGCCTTTCTTTTTTGATTTCCTGTCTCCAAATCTGTGTCAGGCACCTTGTTAAATGTAAATATTTAAAAAGCAGGTTTGTCCTGAAAGTCTACTGTTGGCACACGGTTTTGAATACTTCTATAAACTGATTCACTCTATAAGAAAACTCTAGGCTCCTGATGTAAGTACAAAGTGGTTAGCTATTTTTTGTCTAAAAAATCTCCCAGAATGATGAAGTAGATTTTAATTGTGTTCTTTAAGGAAATGGAAGAATTTTTAAAAATTGACATTGAATTCCTATCATCTTGAGTTTTTTTTTTAAAATTCTGT